TTTATGGGTTGAAAGATTGAAACGTATTTTTATTCAAAAATTCCGAATCCACAATAAAAACATGTATGTCCCATAAAAAAAAGGAGCATACCCAACGTTAATCTCCAGACCCACGTGCTTTGCATGTCTATCAAATTTCGAGAAGGCAGAACAGACATTGTGTTTATTGATACCGATGATGTCGATGTCAACGGCATAGGCTCGCAATTCCATGTTATTATAAAAACATTGTTCCTCAGCAGATTAGTTCCGCGCTTCTTACCTCCAGCTTTAGATTAAAGAAGTCGCACGACAGCGATTCGCTTTGTCTGAAAACTCGTCTGATATGGAGCGCCTCGGAGACACCTTCCCCTCTTCAGCTCCCTAGATCGGTGTATTTTCCGACGATAGCACCAAAGATCCCATCCTTGCTCGATTGCCATTGAAATCGCCTACCACGACTTTTATATCGTGACGAAGGCTGCGCTCATAGAACAGGTCCTCGGTCACCTCGTCCTTCTCTTCCGTTTTGATGCGAATTGTGGCGAGAAACTCATTAACTGCCATAGATAACAATACTCGGCGAAATTGTCTCTTTCCCACTACAAATTCGTCACCAAACTTGCGCTCCTCTACATGGCAGCTGCAGTAGACATCGCAAGGCCCCACGTGTGTTTTGCCTTGTCCGACCAGCGCATTTCTTGGACGACGGTGATGTCAGCCTTACCTTTCGCGAGGGCATTAACTAGCTAAGCAGAAGCTCATTTCCATTAAGGTCCGGACGTTCCAGGTGTATGCTCTCAAATAGTAGCGCTATACTATTCTTACTATTATCTGGAGATAAAAAATAAAATGTATCAATTCATCCAAAGAGTTAGATATACTATCACCAAAGCGCCACCCGATATTTCACAGTCTATTTAGCTTGTTTTAAATTTCAGGGAAGTACTAGAAAAAAAAAATTAAAAAAAAAAAACTAACAATTCCCGTGGCTAATTCACGAATCAAGAAAGTGCAAAACCGCTATCCAATTTGTACAATATATTGAATCAATGGATCAGTGGTTGAGTTAGAAATATGTATGTATGTATTCGTGAATGTAAGTACATGATGCACTTATACCTATGTACATATATCTATACCGCAACTGACATTTGCGTAACAAATTGATTGGTTACTATTTTAATCAAATCGTTTGAAACCTCGAATGGATTGAATTTGAAAGGCCAAACATTTGTTCAGGAGTCAGCGCACCAGCCGTGTCAAGAGATAAGAGGCGCAACAATGAACTTTAACAGCGAATGAAATTGACAGCCATCCAACTATGTATCTCTAACCAACCAACCAGCCAACCAGCCACCTACGAGCCAAATAAACAACATAACAGACAACAAGCAACACCTGAAACATTACAGTTATGCAGTCAGCCATATTGTGGATTGACCCAGGTTTGTAACTTTAGTAGCGTTTCACAAATATGTACATATGTACATATGTATGCATTTGTGCATCGTTTTAACCATTGATACTACGTCTATAAGAGGTGACCCAAATACTTGTATCATACCTACATATGTACGTACGTACATATGTATGTATGTATGCATGCACGTAATTCCTACGAGGTGGCCTCGTACATCAGCCCTGTAATAATGGTGATTGCCAGAGGACGAGCATACGTGGTTTGTTTGCATCTGGGGGGCAAATACCGAGGTGAAGGCAAAAGTGGGTGATAAATCCATAATCGATAAACTTATGTACAATGTCGTATGTTTACTATGCTATGCTAGGACTTTAGATATGGACAGTAGGGAAATAAAGACAAATCGATTACTGAGTGGAAGATCGACCTATCTCGACAGCCAGTTCGTAAACGCCCTATCTCAAAAAACTTTTCAAGAGCCCTTCGACCGATGGAACTGAATCGGCGTTATGCTTAGGTATACCATGCAAGAAGACGGTATATT